ATTGTTTTTCTCCCGAGTGGATTGATGCGGACAAAGACTTCTCTTCCCACAGAAACCCTTTCCACGCTCCAGGCATTTATATGGTTTCTCTCCTGAATGGAGACTTTGATGTCTGTAAAGGTTTCCCCTCCGACTACAGCTCCTTCCACACTCAGACATTTATATCCTTTTTCTCCTCTGTGAATGCTTTGATGTTTACGGAGACCTTGACTTTCAGTAAAGCTCTTTCCACAATGGAGGCATTTACAGGTAGTCCCCCAGGTACGAGAGTTCATTTAGCCAGTTTTCACAAAAACAAATTAATTAAATTAATTCAGGAAGGGTACTTACATTAGAAATTCAGAATTGCAATCAAAAAGGTCTGTCTAGGCATGTGACTTGGTTTCAGTGTCTACTGCAGTGGCGGCCATTTTTATCTCTCCGACTTTCCTTGGTTGTTCGGGGCTACGAGAAGCTGGCAGAGTTTGGGGGGTTTTTTTGTCCCTGGCCAAATGGCCAAACAAGTGCGGAGCCAGCTCCGGTTTTTGCTTTTGCTAGCTGAAGATGCTTGAGCTGTCTAGCAGCCGTTATTTTTTTAAAAAGGAAACTACAATGGTTCCATGCTAAATTGGCATTTATAACGTTTCTCTGCTTATGTGGATTCTTTGATGTCTATAAAGGTTTCCCCTCACACTGAAGCTCTTTCCACACTCCAGACATTTATGCAGTTTTTCTCCTAAGTGGATTCTTTGATGTGTATAAAGGTGTCCCCTCCGACTGAAGCTCTTTCCACACTCCAGGCATTTATATGGTTTTTCTCCTGAGTGGATCCTTTGATGTTTATAAAGGCTTCCCATTTCACTGAAGCTCTTTCCACACTCCAGAAATTTATGCACTTTTTCTCCTGAGTGGATTCTTTGATGTCTATAAAGGTGTCCCCTCCGACTGAAGCTCTTTCCACACTCCAGGCATTTAAAAGATTTCTCTCCTGAGTGGATCCTTTGATGTCTATAAAGGTGTCCCCTCCGACTGAAACTCCTTCCACACTCCAGACATTTATGCGGTTTCTCCCCTGAGTGGATCCTTTGATGTCTATAAAGGCTTCCCCTCTCACTGAAGCTCTTTCCACACTCCAGACATTTATGCGGTTTCTCCCCTGAGTGGATCTTTTGATGTGTATAAAGGTATCCCCTCCGATTGAAGCACTTTCCACAATCCAAGCATTTAAATGGTTTCTCTCCTGTGTGAATCCTTTGATGTTTATAAAGGCTTCCCCTCTCACTGAAGCTCTTTCCACACTCCAGACATTTAAATGGTTTCTCTCCTGAGTGGATCCTTTGATGTCTATAAAGGTGTTCCCTCCGATTGAAGCTCTTTCCACACTCCAGGCATTTATGCGGTTTCTCTCCTGAGTGGCTCCTTTGATGTGTATAAAGGTTTCCCCTCTCACTGAAGCTCTTTCCACACTCCAGACATTTATGCGGTTTCTCTCCTGAGTGGCTCCTTTGATGTGTATAAAGGTTTCCCCTCTGACTGAAGCTCTTTCCACA